GTCAGAAGATGACTTGAGGGAGTTGGTTCTCTCTTCCACTTTGTGAGTCCTGCAAACAGAACTCAAACTCAGGCTGACAGGCTTGGCAGCAAGCCCCTTTACCTGCTGAGCCATCTTACCAGCCCTCAGCCCCTCATTTTATTTTATTTACTTATTAACTTATTATTTTAGTATTTTACAAATGTTTTTTTTTTTTTTTTTTTGGTTTTCCAAGACAGGGTTTCTCTGTGGCTTTGGAGGCTGTCCTGGAACTCGCTCTTGTAGACCAGGCTTGGTCTTGAACTCACAGAGATCCATCTGCCTCTGCCTCCCGAGTGCTGGGATTAAAGGCGTGCGCCACCACCGCCCGGCTGGAATTTTGGTCTCTATGAGCTAGCTGCATGATACTTGGGACGCTGGACTGTGAGCTGCAGCTCGTCATCCATTCAGCCGTAAGGGTGAAGATCCTGTGCTCTGTAGTGTGTCCCGGTGTTCTGCTAGCACAGGAAGAAGCACCTCTGGCGCATGCGGTCAATGTTGGATAGCAAGTGTGTTGTTTTAATAGGCCACTAGGGGGCAGTAATGGATAAAGAACAGGCATGTGGGACTTGAGAAAAGCTCCTGTCGTTCTTTTTTTTTTTTTTTTTTTTTTTTGGTTTTTCGAGACAGGGTTTCTCTGTGGCTTTGGAGGCTGTCCTGGAACTCGCTCTGTAGACCAGGCTGGCCTCGAACTCACAGAGATCCACCTGTCTCTGCCTCCCGAGTGCTGGGATTAAAGGCGTGCGCCACCAACGCCCGGCGCTCCTGTCGTTCTTAAACTTGATGCTAAAGCACTGAAGACTTAAGTTTGATCCTGAACCCATTTTTATAAGTTATGCATAGTAACAACATTATTTATTACTAGTGCGTGCTATTGCTGTTTGCTCATACAGCTAGTGGTCACACACAGAAATCTCTTCCTTTAGCTGAGCTTGGTGCCTCATCGAAATCCCAGAGTTTAGGAGGCTGAAGCATGAAGACAGACAAACCTAGGCTACACAATAGCTTTCAGGGCAACCTGGGCTTCAGAGTGAGACCCTATATTAAAAAACAGTAACAAGATAAAAAAGAAAAGAAAACTTCTTTTATCCCTAGCACACGAATGGACTTTGGGAGCCCATTCCCCATAGAGGGATACTCTTTCAGCCTAGACACACGGGAGGGCCTAGGTCCAGCTTCAATTGATATGACAGACATTGAAGATTCCCCATGGAAGGCCTCACCCTCCCAGGGGAGCAGAAAGGGCATGAGGGGGTCTGTGGGGGCAGTGGAGGAGGGGAGGGAGAGGGAATTGGGATTGATATGTAAAACAAGCTTGTTTTTAATTTAAATAAAAAAAACTTCTTATTACCTGAAAGAGAAACTGACAAACAAAAACCAGAAAAAGGTTTCTATTTTATTTATTATTACTGTTGTTGTTGGAATTATTATTTGAGACAGTGACTTAAAATATAACCCCTTCTGACCTGGAACTCCCTATGTAGATCAGGCTAGCCTTGGCCTTGCAGTAATATTCTTTTTTTCTTTTTTTTTTTTTTTTTTGGTTTTTCGAGACAGGGTTTCTCTGTGGCTTTGGAGGCTGTCCTGGCACTAGCTCTTGTAGACCAGGCTGGCCTCGAACTCACAGAGATCCGCCTGCCTCTGCCTCCCAAGTGCTGGGATTAAAGGCGTGCGCCACCAACGCCCGGCCTGCAGTAATATTCTTAATATGAGTATGAAGAATGCCAAAACTAGGGCAGAGAAGAAAGCTGGGAACGCTGGGGCTGGAGGAAGCCGGTATCACATTGGCATTGAGGAAAATCTAAGGAAGACAGAACCAGCTGTGTGGGCATCCAAGTGCTGCACAGACATCTAGGAGCAGGGCCTTTAGGACGAGAAAGCAACAGGTCCTGAGACAGGAGTGGCAGAGGCTGGCGTCACAGGACAGAACTGATGGGTTTGCTGGCACACTGGGCGTGGCCTGTAAGAAAGAGAGGTTCAGGGCCTCCAGACGGCTCAGCCGTTCAGCGCATTTGCTGCTCCTGTAGAGGGGGAGGCGGGGAGTACTGCAGGCAAGTACTCAAACACATAAAATGCATACATCTGAGAGAGACAGACAGACTCAGGTATGTTTAAGGGAAAACTCCAGAACTTCCTTCCTTCCTTCCTTCCTTCCTTTCTTCCTTCCTTCCTTCCTTTCTGTTCTTCAAGATGGGGTTTCTCTGTATAGCTCTTTCCTGGAACTCACTCTGTAGACCAGATTGGTCTTAAACTCACAGACATCCTCCTGCCTGGCCATAGGAATCCAAGTCTGGGCTTTGCGGGCCTGAGTGGGAGGCATCAACCCTAGCCTTATCTCTGACAAGCAGGGAAGTTGCTAGAGCTGTGCCCAGGACTGTGATCCCCCTTCAGTCACTCAAGGGCTGGGCTGTGTCAGAAGCCTGCTGTGGCCCCTCTCCCAGCCACCATATGCCACCCCATGTGGAATCTCAATAGGAACCCTGTCCTCAGGGGCTGAGGCAGCATGGATGACACCACACATATTCCCTGCTGGTCACTGCATGGGCCAGGTGCTTCGGGCTGGCTGTTCACACACTGCAGGAACAAAACTGGAAATCCCCAAACCTGGTTACCCATGAACTCAGTCTTGAGTGAGAGCCAAGCGGAACTAGTCAGAGTCTAGAAGGCAAGTGGGTTTTAATCTCCTGTGCCAGCAACGATTAATCAAGTTTAGTTGTGGATGTCAGCTGTCTGTAGAAGGGGCAAGGGTGGGCAGGGGAGATGGTACAGCAGGCACCCACGTAAAAGCTACATGTGGAGGTGCCCGCCTGTGATGCCAGCACTCCTATGGCGAGTGGGAGGCAAAAGCAGGGACCAGATGGAAGCTAGAGTAAGCAGAGCAACAGCAGACATGAGAGAGATCCGGCAGGCGTTGGTGGTGCACGCCTTTAATCCCAGCACTCGGGAGGCAGAGGCAGGCGGATCTCTGTGAGTTCAAGGCCAGCCTGGTCTACAAGAGCTAGTTCCAGGACAGCCTCCAAAGCCACAGAGAAACCCTGTCTCGAAAAACCAAAAGAAAGAAAAATGAGAGAGATCCTGCCAGAAAAGCATGGTAAGAGAGAGAACTGATTCCTGACCTACACACACACACACACACTCACACACACTCATACACACACTCACACATACTCACATATTCACACACACTCATACACACACACACACACACACACACTCACACACACACACACACTGTGGTTTGAATAGAAATGGCCCCCCATAGGCTCATAGATTCGGGAGCTTCATCATTAGGGAGTGGCACTACTTGACAAGAGCTAGGAGGTGTGACCTTGTTGGATGAAGTGTGTCATAGAAGTGGGTTTTGGGATTTCAAATGCTCAAGCCAGGCCCAGAATCACTCTCGTGCTGCTGTCTGCCTATCTGGATGTAGAATCCTCAGCTGCCTCTCCAGCACCACGTCTGACTTCATGGCACCTCATGATACTGGACTAAACCTCTCAAACTGTAAACCAGCCCCAAGTAAATGTTTTCCTTTATAAGAGTTGCTGAGGTCATGGTGTCTCTTCACAGCAATAGAACACTGACTCAGCCACCCCAAAATAAAATAAAAAATTAATCTTAAGATAAAATGAGAAGGAGGAAGGGTGTGAAATTGATTAGTAATGCCTGCTGTGACAGCAAGATCAGGGAGTGTCTGCTACTGCCCCAGAAATTTGTTTCTCCTCATTGACCCGGACGGACTTTGGACCCTTGCTTCAAAGGGTCTCCTGGGGTACTGTGCACTGTGGGTCAGTCAAACCACATTCAAGTCACAGAGGAAACACTCCTTAACCTTCTGCTATGGGCTGGGGACTGGGAGAGAGGCCTGGGGACAGAAATGTCCCCATGGAAATAAATTCTACCCTGCTTCTCAGAAAGCCATCAGCTTTGGGCTAGGGGTGTAGCCCAGTCTGCAGAGTGCTTGCTTGGCACACAGGAAGTTCTGGGCTTGATCCCCAGCATAGACTGCAAAAGCCAGGTCTGATGGGGCACACCTGTAATCCCAGCCTTAGAGAGGCAGAGGCAGGATCAGAAGTTCAAGGCCATCCTCAGCTATGTAGAGTTCAAGACCAGTCTGGACTTTTATCTATTTATCTATCTATTTATTTTTTTTAACCTGTAAACAAAACAAAACCACCAACCCAACCAACAAGAAAAAAAAACACCCTAAAAGTTAGCAATCAAGCCAGGCGTTGGTGGCGCATGCCTTTAATCCCAGCACTCGGGAGGCAGAGGCAGGCGGATCTCTGTGAGTTCAAGGCTAGTCTGGTCTACAGAGTGAGTTCCAGGACAGCCTCAAAAACAATACAGAGAAACCCTGTCTCAAAAAACCAAAACAAAACAAAAAAACAAAAACAAAACAAAAGTAAGCAATCAAGCAGGTGTCACCCTTCTTCAGTCCACCTACTGAATAGGAATGTCCTAACTGGGAAAGAGTCCGATTCTTCTCTTTGTCTCTCCTAATGAGAGGCTGAGCTCTGCCCCATAGGTTAAACCACAGTCACCCGGCCTGGGCACTACGTTTATAAAAGCATCTAGGTGTTTGGAGGTTAGGCTGAAACTCCTCCCCCTCTTCCTCTTTCCCCTCCTGCTCCCCCCTTCTTTTTCATCATCATTTTGATGTTGTTGTAATTTGTTTGTTTTTATGCATACGGGTGTTTTGCCTGCTTGTCTGCATTGTAAGCAAGAAGCGAGCCTCTGGAACTGGAGGTACAGGTGTTTGTTAGACGCCACACTGGGAACCAAACCTGGGTCCTCTGCAAGAGCCACAAGTGCTCTAACCGTTGGGCCATCTCTCCAGTACCACGCACCCCCACTATTGTTTACTGGGGACAGTCTCACGTTGCCAAGGCTAGCCTTGAACTCCTGATCCTCTTGCTTCTGTGTCTGAATGCTGAGGTTACAGACGCACCTCCATGCCCAGCAGCACCAAATTCTTTTTCTTTTAAAACAAGTTTATTAAATTTTGATTTGAATTTATGCACGTGCATGCACGTGGGTGGCCATCATGCAGATGAAAACATTAAGTGTAGAAAGGCAAAGAACTTGAAGAAAATCACTCCCCATTAACAAGGAAGATGAGTCTCAGAGCTCAGGCTAGCCCATCTTTCACTTGGGCGGAGGGCCTGCAATCAGCTCTGTGCCTGCTCCTGTAGCTTCCTGGGTGAACGTCCAGATCTCTGGGAGGGAGTCCCTTGGCCCTCCTCTGGGAGGGCTTCCTTCTAGGGCCCCTCCCACAACCTATCTACCCAGAGAAGCAGCCCTCTGCCTTCTCCAGAAACCCTTCCATGCCCATCTTAACTAGGCAGAGGAAACGCTGCCCTCTGAGCGACCGTGTGTTTGTTACCTTTGGCTCTGCCAGGCCCGGCTGGCACAGGGTGGATCTGCATGAATGTTGGATTTGTTGGGGGTGGATACATTGGGGAGCTGGGCCAAGAGCAAAGAACAAACCTGCTGGCGGGCTCAGCTGTCAGCATGCCCTCCAGGGCCAACACGCTGGCCTCTCCTCTGGCCAGGGACTTCTGACCATTCTGCCAGAACTCCCCGTCCCTCAGCCTTGGCTCTCTTGTCTCCTCTCCAAGCCAGCCAGGAGGGTAAGGGTGGAATCCACCCCCATTGGGGTCTGTGCCAGCCACACAGAAAACTAGAAACCTTCTCACCTCATTGATCTAGGTATTCAAGCAAAAGTTCATAGGACAGCGACAATGAGCAGGTATTGTGCTCAGTGCCAGGGAGCACAGGCCAGGCATGGGCCCGGCCTCACTGAGCTTCATTCCAATGGGAAATATACCTAACCAGTAAACACACAAGCAGGTACGCGTTAGTCAACTCTCCATGAAGGGAAACAATCGGGACTTCTGAGACGAACGAGCTATTCAAGCACATTAGTCCCGAAAGGCCTCCAGGAGGAGGTGGCATGGAAGGCAAGGCCTGAGGAGCTGAAGCAGGTCATGCAAAAGGAAAGGAGGAACATTCTGGAAACCTCAGGGGAGAAGTTCTGAAGATGGGAATACTGGTAGCTGGGCCATGGTGTCCTATGCCTTTAATCCTAGCACTGGAAGGCAGAAGCAGGTGATCTCTGAGTTCAAGGCCAACCTGGTCTACAGCATGAGATCAAGGACAGCCAAGACTGTTTCACAGAAAAACCCTGCCTCAAAAACCAACCAAACAAACAAACAAGCAAAAAAAGATGGGAATGTTGGGGCTATGAGAACAGGTCAAGGTAGCATAAGCACTGAGCAAGTCCGGGGTCAGCAAAAAACAAAGTTATAAATTGGGTTAGGACTTAAAAAAAGAGCTCTGATTTTTATCATTACAATAACAGGGTGTGCGGGTGGGGGGGCGTCTAGGTCTCAGGCTGGGTTGATACGATGTGCTCTGCACATGCCACATTCTCTCTAGTGGCTGCTGAGAACGGTCTGGCACAGCCGAGCAACACAAAGAAGCTGTGGCAATAATCTAGGGGAGAGGGGACATTGCCAGGCCCGGACTATGGGTTCAGAGACTCCAAAACATTCAGGAAGTAGAAATGGAAGTTGGATGGTGGAACTTTCCAGATCTAAACATCTTTGTTGCTTGTCTGTAACACCCTGCAGTGGGGGATGAGAATGCTGGAGGCCACCAGAAGGACTAGAAACAGGAGCCATGAATACTCAGTAGGGTGTGTGTCGGGGGAGTCGCCTGCTCAGTCTCTGGGGAGAAGGAACCCAAGACTACCCAGGATGGATGCTCAAAGGGTTCAGCCGTTTCTGCTGTGTTTCCATGGTGTCAACAGACTGCTTTGCAGTTCAGGTACCTGCAACGTGGAAATGTTTCCCATAGCGCAGCCCTGAGTGAACATGGGATCTCTGGTTAGGAGGCTGCCAAGCTGCAGGCCTGCAGTAAGACCCTAATGTCCAGGAACTTCTGTCACATCTCCCTACTCCCGGCAGCCTCCATGACTCTTCTACCCTTCCCGCATGTCTCTCCCAGTGGGCTGACGATGTACTCCACAGGGATGCCTTCAGACGGGTCTAATATGGCAGCAAGATGAAAGGGCTTGCTTCCACTAAGGAGAGAAAGAAGTCTTTCTCTCTTCTTGACCTTTTCGCTTATGCTTTCCGGGTCACACAGGTGACCTCTGCCCTCTGTCCCACTTTTCCAAAATGACCCTTTTGCTCCCACGGTTTTGTAAACTCTATTCTTGTGCCCACAGGCTCCTTATTATAGCTCTGGGGACCATGGTTCCATCAAAGGCTGGCACGGGGACGGGGGGCTTTCTGCGATGACCTGGAAATTTCATGTTCAGCATGGATCCAGCACCAGAGAATAACAATCTTGGTTTTGCCAGGCATTAACCAGGGTGTTCCCAGATGGCACGTTGGGTGGTCCTCAGGGGCACTGTGGGAGCAGGTGCCCACCGAAGAGGACCCAAGTGTTTCCACACTTTGCCTACTGATATGACGACCCTAAATGTCACTCCGTCTCTGCTGTTCCACTGGCCATTTATTCCCATTAGAGAGGCAAGCGGCCTGGGGCGGGTCTGGCCTCTGAGCAAAGCCAGCTGTGTGAAATGTGGGTGAGCAGGCTCTCAGGCCCTCGACCCACTGTGTGACCTTGGAGAGCCCAGCTGCCTCTGCCTGTTCCCCGCTCCTCCGAGTTATTTTTATCTAGCCTGACAGCCCTTGGCTGTAGCAGCAGTCTGGGCTCTAGAAGCCGGATGCAAACCAGGCAGCTCAGACGTCTGGTGCTGAATCCCAAGAGAATGCCTCTTGGGGTGCCACCATCAGGGCCACAGGTCGTCCACATGGGGGACCTCCCGGGAAGGGCCATAGTCCTGGAGGATGGTGCCCAGGAGAAGGGGAGTAGGGCTCTCTCGTTGCTCTTCAGCCCTGACTCCCATCTGAGAGCTGGTGGTAGGACACCCTGCCGCAGAGCTTTGCTCCTGTGGGGACCCTCCTGGCCTGGCTTGTCAGGCCTTGGTGGCTGGTGACGTGTGCATCTGAAGCTGGGACGATGGAAGCTGCAGGCCTTAGCCGACTGGAGGACAGGACAGGTTTGTCCTGAGCTTCACTGTTACAGGGCAGGCCACAGACATCTCAATAGCCCCTGCTTCATTTCTGTCCCCAGGAAGTGAAGCAGACAGTACATTCCATCCTGTTGGCCTGGGGTGACTGAATCCCACCAGTCCTCAGGACTGGGAGCCCCACCTCTTCATGTGGGCAGCCTGCCCCTCCATGGACTCTTTAGGTTAAAGCGACAACTCCAGACCCAAGGTCCATGGTACTGGGTCCACAGTGCCTGGCCGTCACAAGGCACCATACAGCTCGGAGGCTCTGAGCTCTGAAAAGGCTACAGGGGAGCCGGGCTGGCAGCAGGGTTGCTGATGAGGAAGGTGGAAGGCGGGGGTGGGTCTCTGAGGGGCGAGGAGAGATGCCTTTTTATAGAAGCAGTTCTAGAAAAGGTGGCACCATTTTCAGAGCTCGTGGGGGAAAGTAAGAACGTTCCTCACTCTTAGGGGATGGTTGTAGGGGGGGGTCATCTCAGAAAGCCCCAATTTCAGTGATTTCAGACACCCAGGAGTGGTAGAGCACCGCTCCTGCTGGCCTCCCAGTTGGCCCCAAAGGAGATGGACTGGAGATGGGACCACACACACTGTCATCGGATTTCCCAGCTCCAGGGGTCGCTGGGGAGGAAGACGGCAGACTGGGGACTACATGGCTGCTCCTGGCAGCCCTGCTACCAGGAGCTGTGGGTAGAAGGGCAGCTGGCCTCTCAGGAGGATGGGCTCTCTGGGTGGAAGGTACCCCTCGACTGGGCAACAAATTCCTCCGGGATGGCAGGATGGTACCAGCCACTCTGTGGATCGGTGTGGATCGGAGGGCTGAGATGGGGTAAGCAGGAGAGGTGACATTGGGGAGGACGGGGCCAGGCACTCTCCCCAGAATAGCGAGTTGGCTGCTCAGGGAAGGCCACCCTGGACAGCTATGGAGGAAGGACCAGGGCCACACAGGGAAGGCCAGGGCACCAGTCGGTGTGGGTGAAGGCTCCATCTCAGCTGCATAGCTGTTGAGGTGGGAGAGAAGGCGAATCCGGACAGGGTCTGCGTGGCTACTGGGTCCTTCCAGGACCCCCAAGTACCTGATGACCTCAGTGAGGCATTCCCGAAAGCCAATGCTCCGGAAGTCAACAGCCAGGGCTCGGGCGTCAAAGAACCCTGCAAAGTAAAGCACCATGAGGGCATGCCAGGGAGAGAAGCAGATGCCCTGTGTGACCTTGGACGTGCCCCTTCACCTCTCTGAGCTCCAATCTCCCACCAGAAAGCACTAGAAGCCATGCTGTATCACTTCATGATGAGTACAGAGAAGATCTTGTGACCCACATAGCTTCTCTAAGCAGATACCTGTGAGAAGACGGTGACCACAGAAGATGTAGACCAACCCTGCCTACCGAAGAGAGGCAGACTTGGGGAGAGCAGGGAATGGCAGCAGCTGTCAGAGTAGAAGGCCACTTGGAGAAGGCACAATTGTGTGGCGGTGAAGCCTTTCGAAGCCACCACAGCTGGGTTCAGGGCACGGATCTGCCACTGAAAATGACCACCATTCCTAAGCCTCAGTTTCCTTAGCCTGGGAATGGGGAGCCAGCAGAAGCAGTCCCCACTGCTGTAGTATTCGCAGAGAGGCTGAAACGAAATGGTACTTGGAACCCCTCCACAAGTGGACCCACCTACGCCACCGGCCCAGCTGCTACTGCATCTGAGTTCATCCTCCAGCTCAGAACACAGTTGGGATGTGCTGGTCCCATGCAGCTACCATCAGGCAAGGTCTCTCTCTAGGCCTGATGTCTCTGATGTGCAGGCAAGGTGGACTGTCTGCACAGGCATCCACATCTCTACCGCCTCTGCATACCTGTCCTTTCAACCACCTTCTGGGTAAAGAAAGAGCAGCCTACACTGAGTCCTGACTGTGGCAGCAGATAGCTCATCTGTGGTTCATGGCTGGGGACCCTCGGAGGGACAGGACAGTTGAGCAGGAGACTGCCGAGTCTGGGCAGTCTGGGGTGAGACTTGACTGTGCTGTGATGGCGCACGTGTACCCTCACCTCTCTGTATTTGCTATACTCTTGTTTTACACACACATACACACACACAGACACACACAGACACACACAGACACACACAGACACACAGACACACACACAGACACACACACAGAGTTTGTTTTTTAAGACAGGGTTTCTCTCTGTGTAGCCCTGGCTGTCTTGGAACTTACTCTGTAGACCAGGCTATAGCAGGAATTCTCTTTGATCTTAATAATAAAAACCCAGAGACAGCTATCAGGGGTGAAAGCTGAAAGATCAGAGAAGCAGAGTGGCCAGGCACTAGAGAGTTCTTACCTCTACCAATGCTCAGACCAAAGGGGCGATCCTGTCCTCAGACTGCTTCAGACTGCTGCCTCAGACTGCCATGAGCTCCTGTCTCCTCCCATCTTATGTTCCTCTTTCTGCCCAGTCATATCACTCCTGCCTCCACCTACTTAGTTCTGGGACTAAAGGTATATCTCACTCTGAATGCTGGGATCACCTTTTTGTTTGTTTGCTTGCTTTTGTTTTTCAAGACAGGGTTTCTCTGTATTGTTTTGGAGGTTGTCCTGGAACTCACTCTGTAGACCAGGCTGATCTCAAATTCACAGAGATCTTCCTGTCTCTGCCTCCCGAGTGCTGGGATTAAAGGCGTGGGCCACCACTGTCTGGCCTCTATGGCTAACTAAAGTGACTAGCTTTGCACTCTGATCTTTAGGCAAGCTTTATTTGTTAGATCATAAACAAACTATCACTATACCAGGCTGGTCTAAAACTCAGAGTGCTGGGATTAAAGACATGTAATACCACTGGCCAGTTGAAACAGTTATTTCTTTATATATTTTGAAACCTGATCTAATGTTGTCCAGGCTGATGTTCAACTCATTATGTAGTCGAATTTCTGATCTTGTCTCCACACTCCATGTGCTAGGATTGCAGGCCTGTGCCGCCATACCTGGTTAATGCATTGCTAGGGACTGAACCCAAGGCTTCGTGGATACGAGGCAAGCACTCTACCAACTGCGCTACATCCTCAGCCTCCTTAATTAGTTAGTTAACTTTTAGATGACCATTCAGGTAGTCCAGAGTGGCCTGGAACTCACTGTGTTGCCTACAATGATCTCGAACTCCTGACCCTCCAGCCTCCATTTCCAGAGAGCTGTGGTTACATGTGCACACCACTATACCTGGCTATGTTGTTCTTCCTAAACAAAAGTCTGCTGAGTTCTCATTAAACACCTCTCTGCATTATCTAATTTAATCCTTACAAACGCTCTTTTACCATATCCACTTTATAGCTCAAGGAACTCAGGGGGGCAGAGAGGATAAAACCATTTGTCTTAAGTCACAAGGTTCAGAAGCAGCAGAACCAGAATTCGTATCAGAAGCCTGAACTCCCAACCACTCTCTGACCTCTCCATTAGGCTGAGTGGCGAGAACAGCCTACCCCACCCCCTCCTTCCTGGTTCTTGTGAGAATGATGTGAGATAAGTGGAAACATCTTAAAGTGCTGCCCACATGCTAATCACTACTTTCCTTTTAATAGGACAACCATGAATATAATTTGAAGCATCTCCCCACTGGATGCCACCGTCAGGAATGCGTTCCTTTGGCAGATTTTTCAAAAGGAGTCCCCATGTTAGAATTATTGGGTAGGTCTGCAACTTGCGAATTCCTGCAGTCTAATCCAGACTGAGTCTTCCAGGGAGACTCTGCAATGCTGCCTGCCCCCAGGCACCACTGTGGAGCAGCGCCTATTTGGACCACTTAAAATGCCACTGGTCTCTTCCAGAGTTGAAAGCCATTCTTGAACTTTACATCTTTGTAGCTAAGGTCTGAGGGGTGTGAAGGCTTCCCGGTCTCGAAATCACCAAACATACCTATAAGCTTCGAGACAGGATTTCCATTCACCTAGCAGTCTTTTAAAAGTCATAGCTGCTCCATGATTTTAATGGAAGGAACTAGCAAAACGATGGTGTGACTCGCCTCTTCCTATAATCGGACACTTGCTGTGCACGTGACTCATTTCCCAGTGCTGTACAGTAGCTTAGGCCAGTGGGCAGAGACACCAACAGGGTATCTGCACCTAAACATCTCAGGCAAGTTCCTCCCTGGGTTCAGGTTAGTTGAAGACTGGGATTCTAGTGAAAATTTGCTTATCCAAGCTACCTGCTAACCAGGTTTTCTGTTGAGTTTTCTGGAAGCCTGTTTCACAGAACAACCTTCTAAGACTGGGAGGAGTCAAAGGAGGGAAGGGTTCGGAGACAATGGAAGAAGAGAGATAATTCGGTGTGTGGCTCCTGCCTGCAATCTCAGAACTCTAGAGGCTGAGGCAGGGTGATTTGTGAATTCGAGGGCAGCTTGGGCTACAGAGTGAGAGCCTTTTCTCAGAACAAACATCAAAGTAGAACATAACTAAAGAAAAGAGAGGAGCTTGACAAATGGTGGCTGGATTCCACTTCAGTCCTCCCACAGAAGGGCACTGACAACCTACTTTGATCAGCAGTTTGAGCTCACTCCTTGATCCCCAGGGCCCTGTGTCAAAGAATTTGTAGTGTGAGTAACTCCCAAGAGAGTAGAGCATTGGTACCTGTGCCACCAGAGGCATGGAGCATCTTCAAGTGATCCACTGTCATCTGCAAGACCTCGGCTTTCTCCAGCTTGGAGGAGCCCTGTGGTATGGAAGGCAGAGGGTGCAGGCTGCAGGTGACTGCTGTTGCTCAGTACCCTCCTGTCCCCATCAGCATTCACTGCCTGGGCTTCCCCCGTGTCCTTCCACGCCCTTGTCCTCCCATGCCCTGATCACTTGGGCTCTTACTTTGTCCAAGCTCTCGAGTCTGAAAAGTGCTCACATCTCAGTCCACCCGTCTGCATCAATTCTGGGGTCCCATCCTAAAACCCCTCCCCGCCTCCACTGCCTTGACTGAATCCTCTTGAGTCTCCTTCCACCTTGCCTCCAGGTGCCTCTCTCCTAAAATGTCCTCAGTGAATATCAGCTCGCCCCATCCCAGAAGACTCCTCTACCTCCACGGCCCCACCACCATCACCAGACTCCTGTTATCATCCACCGCACCTGTCCCATAGACCTGCTACCCTGGGAACCCAACCCCAGCATCCCTAAGTCCCAGCCCATCATCTGAGCCCAAAGCGCTTGCTCTTCCTCTGTTCTCTCTTAGGAAATGTTTCCCAAGCCTCTAGGGAACCTTGGCTCCCATGGGACACCTGAGGGTCAGACTCTCCATGTCAGTCCTTAAATACAGACACCAAGTCTGGTTCATTGCTGGCTCGGAGAAGGTTTTAATGAGCATCTGTGGAATGACTGACTTGTACTTACTGGTCTAAGGGAAGGCAGATGGCATGTGACCTGAGCCTTGAGCATAGAGCAGTCTGATTCAACCATTTGTCTTTCCACTGTAGGACTCCCCCATCCCCCATGTCCTGTACCCCCATGTTCAACAACAGATGAGAGGCCTGTTTTACTTTCAAAGAGCTCTAGAAATGTCGGAGGACATGTGATATAGCTACATGCTCTTTCTGCTCAGATATTTATTAGCCATGTGATTTAGTGGATAGATATGACATGACATCTCTGTCTTTTACTTCTTTATGTGCAATGTGCAGAATAATCCCTGCCTCTCAGGAACACTTTTAGGATTTAATCCAAAGGAACACATCAGGTATAAAACCCAAAACACCTTGCTAAGTATAAGCATCTGTTCCTCTTGTCCCCTGGCCAGTGGCAACTATGCACACGTCTATGCATATGCACACGTGTGTGGCATATGCACACCTTGTATATGTGTATGTGTGTGTGATATCCATGTGTACACATGTGGAGGCCAGGAGATAACAGAGTACCATCCTTTATTGCTCTCCATCTTCTGTTTTCTTAGATTTTTATTGTTTCTATGCAGAGTGTGTATCTGTGTGAATGTATGTTCATGTGTGTGCAGGTGCCTACAAAAGCCAGAAGACATCGTCAGATCTCCTGGAGTTGGGGTTATGTGCAGTTGTGAGCTGCAGGCTGGGATGAACTCTAGTCCTCTGGAGAGCAGCATGTGCTTTTAACTGCTGGATCACCTCCCCAAACCTACATTTTAAAAATTAATTGTGTGTGTGTGTGTGTGTGTGTGTGTGTGTGGTCAGAGGACAGCTTGGCAGAGTCCTTTCTCTCCTTCTACAACGTGAAACCCAGACTGAACTCAAGTCCTCACTGTCTCAGCTCCTAGAATCTGCCTGTCTCTCCCTCCCAATGCTGGTTTTACAGGTATGCACAGCTGTGTCCAGCTTTTATATGTCTGCTGTGGATTTAAACTGAGCTCTTCAACAAGTGCTCATACCCTCTGTGCCATCCTCCCAGACCCCAGTGGCGGCTATTTATAAATGATCACAGCTCTGCCAGCAGTCGGAGACGCCATGGGCCCTGCACCCAGTCAGCGGCGTCATATACCTGTTTCTCAAAGGCCGTGGGCACCAAGCGTCGCAATTCGGAAAGGCTGCTGTTGATGCGGTCTCGGCGCCGTTTTTCTATGATCTGAAAATGGTGACAAGAAGTCCCCTGTAGGCATTTCATCACACTTTCCAGTGTGCCCTGATGGACACTGACTCATATTTTCCCTCAAGATTTTTTTTTCCTGGGTGGCAAATCTATTCTTTCTTTATGGAGGGTGAGAATGAGCGTTCAGAATGACAGTATTTTTGCTTAATGTCACACAGTAAAAGCACAGGGCTGGGACTAGCACTCGGACCTCTTGTCCTGGTCTGTAGGGATGACAGTCAACATAGGTAAAGCAGGGCACTGCCTATCAGAATGAGGACACTATGCAGTTGAGGATGCTCTTGAACTCCTCTTCCTGCTCTCTCAGGCCTCTGGATTCCCAGGAAAAGGTGGGGTGGAATAAGATGGAGAGCTGCTAGCAGGGAGCTCCCCTCTGCACCTCCCTGCTTAACACAAAGAGGAAAAGAACGTTCCGGGTTCCGAAGAAAGAGGGTAGAGGAGAGACTACAACAAAAGTATGAATGACCTACTGTCAGGTTCGCATCAGAGTTTTTGGGAACGCACTGAGTCTTCAGAACAGCCCTTTGGTGACTGGGGATGTAGCTCTGTTGGTAGCATGCTTGCCTCTAGCACGTTTGAGGCCTGAACTAACCCCTCAGTACTGCAACAACCAGGTATGGTGGTGCATGTCTATAATCCCAGCATTTTGGGAGGCTGAGAGAGCAGGAAGAGGAGTTCAAGAGCATCCTCAATTGCATAGTGTATTTGAAAAACAAACAAAAAATTAGTCTGTTGAGGTTAGGTGCTACCTCTCACTCAAAGGAAGAAGCAAGACATTGGAGGGGAGGTGGCATGCCCTCCTTAGATTCAGTGCATACTCCAGCCTGATTGGACTCCTCAAGAGCGGTTGCTCACTCACCCCTCTGCGCTTCTTCCGGGCTTGCATCTGCGAAGGGCTGGGAGTGGTCAGCGGTCTGGCCATCTGGCTGCAGAGGAAGAGAAAGGCTAGTTTCTCAGTGCTGAGGGATCATCTCCCTGGCCTAGGCTGACCTGGGAGGCCCAGTTGGCAGCAGGCCGGGACCGCGGTGCACTGGGGTGGGGTGGAGCTCCCAGGTGGCCATAGTCCCCAGACCAAGAAAGGGCATAGGGCATGCAGAGGGGTCGCGTGCTCTCCTTTCTTCCTGAAGACCTATTTCTTTGGGGCCAAGTCCTCTGGCTCTCCTAGCTTCCTACGTTGTCACCCTCCCGCGGATGCGGGTAGCTGTCTAGCCCCTGCCCCTGCGGTCGGTCAGCCGACCATCGGGGAACCGCGAACCGAGATGCTCCCTCTCGGGTTCTGCAACCCGATCCCGGGGGCGGGCTGACTGAGGGCGCAGGCCAGCGGCGGCCGGGCCGGGCAGGGAGGGTTGGATTTCAGAGCTAGCCGCTGGGAAGGAGCGTGGAAAGCGCAGATGCCGTCGCTTCCCACGGGCTGGAGCGCCACCGCCCGCCCTCCGCCCGGCCGGCAGCTGCCGCCTCCTCCCACGCGGCGCGGCCGGGGGCGAGGCAGAGGCGGCATCTGGGTCACAGGCTTGGGGACAGTGTTCTGACCTCCCAGAAGGCAAGGGTCCCGGTATCCTGGTCCTTCCTGCCCATGCCTGTGCTTTCCTCTGAAACCCAGGCTGGATGAAGGATGCTTGCTCCAACACCAATAGTTGTATTACAAAGACTCAGCAGAGGGGTTTCCTGCCCAGATTTTGACCAGAGTAATCACCCCCAACTGCTTTCCCTCTGGATGGCTTTTTGCTTCAGCTAGACTCTCAGAAGGCAGAGGTTCAGTGGAGAGCATCAAGGGCCCAACCCTACTGATGCTACGCTCCACAGCTTTGGGCAAGGTGCTGCCCCTGCCATTTTGGAATGCCAACATCTCAACAGGAGCCCATGAGCTTGCCCAGCACCTGCTTCTTGTCTACTAGGCTCTCCATCTCAGCAAAGGCCACCCCCAGCTTCTAGTTCTCTGGCACTGTCTTTGATTCCACCTTTGTCTTCACCTTATGTGGTCAAAGCCTGCCTATACCGTGTTTCATGTCTCTTTTCTTTTCTCTTTCTTTCTTTCTTTCTTTCCTCCTGTCTTTTTCTTTTTTTCTTTCTTTCTTTTTTGGTTTTGTTTTTCGAGTATTGTATTGTTTTGGAGGCTGTCCTGGAACTCGCTGTATAGACCAGGCTGACTTCTAACTCACAGAGATCCGCCTGCCTCTGCCTCCCGAGTGCTGGGATTAAAGGCGTGCACCACCAACGCCTGGCTTTCCTGTCTCTTTTCTTGATCTCCATGACCCTCTATGTCTCTCACCCACAGGCTTACAAGAAGAGCCTTCCCTCGGGTCTTACTGCATATTTTTCCCCCTGCCACTACCAGCAGATCGAACACTTAAGTGCAGACTTGATCTTGCCCCTCTTAGATTTCCCCTTAAAAACTTCTCAATGCTTTTAAGACTCCAAAGCATCATTCTTTGGCTGGTCCCACTGGTTCCTGTCACCTCTTAGATTCAATTGTCACTAGCTCTGCATGTTCTAATCTGAATGCACTAACTCTCCTACATTTGCATATGTGTTCTGTTTTTAGAAGTTTCCAGTCCAGTCCATCTCTTTACCATAGCCTGAAGGCTTCAACCAACCTTCAGACCACCACTCGACTCTTTTAGGAGCCTCCTCCCCTTTCTAAATATTCCTAGTCTGCTGTATGTCCCCTGCGATTTACCTCACCAGACTCCTGCATCCACAACATTCTTATTCATGATCATTAGATTAGCACCCATCTCTCCAGCAGACAGGCCCATGAGACTACGAGGTTTGTCCGTTTCACTCATTGTTACAACTCGGGTCCTCAATAAGTGTGGGACGCAGCAGATCTCACGATGGGATTTCTTACTTCCACCCTTACTTTGGTGTCACAGAGAATGTAAATATGAACACCACAGAAATCTGCCTTCTGGGATTTTGTGGACGGGGCATATGCAGCTCACCGAGAGGGTCTCAGCCCATGGGACTCTTCTTGTGGCATTTGAGGTTGGATCATTCTCAGTAAAGTACCTCACAGAAAAGCAGTTTCAGGAGAGACTAGATAGCACATTGCCTCAGGCTTGTTCCAGCCACATCTGGAAAGAAAAAACGTATCTCTCACCCTCACATCTGGACAAACAGAGCTGCTAAGAGGCCTGTGAAAGCTCCTGGGAGGCCTGGCCCTGTGAGCCAGGGCAGTTTGTTTACAAAGCTTCCCTGGTTCACTGGGGACAAGCTCTAAGAGCCAAGGTACGTAAGAAGTACAGCCTTTGTCTCCCTGGCAGGATAAAGCGTCTCTGTGGGTATTGGGTTAGCCTTGTGCACGTCACTGCCTCACAGACTGATCCCTCCTCAGGGACCGTCTGTCAGAGGTTGACACAGCAACACCCAGCTGCAGGGTCAAGTGCACTGTCCCACCTTTCTCCAGTCTCCTGGTCAATTCCCCTCGTCACCTGATCTGCCCCTTCTTCCAAATTTCCCAGGCAAATCTTACCCTGCAGTTTGCTTGGCACCACCATCAACTATCTTGCTCCTTTGGGTTTTATAAAAATCCATTTTCCAGATGAGGATGCTGAGCCTGGGGGAGTCAAAGTGGCTTGGCCAGCTCTCACAGCTGTTAAGGAGCAAAGCAGCATGGGAACCTATCTTCTGGCTCCCGAGTCAGCATTGTTTTCCTTCTTAAGTCTGACTTCCTGTCTGTCTGACTAATGCTCCAATCTCCTTATCCTTAAGTCTCTCTGCCAGAGCTCACCACAGCCTGGGATCTGGCCCTGAGAGTGGGAAGAGTTCTGAGAACCTCTTCTCGGAGAGTCTAGCAGATCTCAATGGACCCAGGGGGAGACAGTGAGCACCAGTATCCCCCATGGGCTTCCTGCAGCCCCTAGACAGGATTCCCGGGTAGCCTCTTCAGGGGCTGTAGCTTTCTAAGTGGTCTGCCTGCCAGTCCTGAACACCAGTCCCAGCTCCACCTGGGAACTCCCCTTCGTGGGACCTTTACAGATGACACCACTTTATGCTTTATATCAAGCAAAGGCAGCATTCCAACCAGTGTTCCAATGATGGACAGTCACCCAGAACTAAAACCATTTGTGAAATGAGAACGCTCAGAGAGGGAAAGGACCTTTGACCAGCCACACAGCAGTAAGAGGAAAATCCAGGATCCAAGTTACATCTAGTGTGTGTGTGTGTGTGTGTGTGTGTGTGTGTGTGTGTGTGTGTGTGTGTGATTTTGCCTGCATGTATGTCTGTGCAGGAAGAATGCACCAGATCCTCAGGAACATCGGTTGCAGGCAGTTGTTAGCTGCCCAGACGGTACTGAGAGTCAAACCTGGAAGAGCAGCCTATGTTCTTAACCCACTGAGCCATCTCTCCAGCCCCACATCTACTGGCTTTTAATTCAATACTCTTGCCAGTGCATTCCAAATGCGCATTGTCCCACCATGTCTGCCTCGTAGCCTGCGCGCTCAGTTCTAGACAGCAGTGCATGGCCATTTGTCTCATACGCTGCACAGTAGACCTTGGGAAAAACAGCCATTGTAGGGTGAGGCATGTGACATATACAGAGGTGGGAACGCCCCAGAATGCATTCTGTGCATTTCTAGTTTTCCCATTAAACGTTGCTGCCTCGTGAATGTGGCATGCTCCCTACAATGTAACAACATTCATTAGAAATTACCTGTGCTAAAGCAAGAATCTGTGTGCTATATGTGGATACAACCTCATCCAAGCCTCACCCCCCAGAGGCAGATATTTACACACTCATTTTGAAATAAAAAAGAAAGAACAGCCAGATGGTGGTGGCGCACACCTTTAATCCCAGTACTTGGGAGGCAGAGGCAGGCGGATCTCTGTGAATTCTAAGCCAGCCTGGTCTACAGAGCAAGTTTCAGGACAGGCTCCAAAGCAATACAGAGAAACCCTGTCTCAAAAAAGAAAAGAAAAAAAGAAATAGAGGGGGGGGAGGAGGGAGGGGAGAGAGAGAGACAGAGAGAGAGAGAGAGAGAGAGAGAGAGAGAGAGAGAACATCATCAGTTCAGGAAAAAGTAAAGTTACTTACACAAGGAAATGGCAGGGAGGGTCAAACTCAGGTCTTTCTGACTTCAAAGACTATCATGTGCTTAAATCATAAAGGAACAGCCCGAAGACCCTAACTTTGGGTTTGACATGTAGGAGGTGCTCATGAAATATTTGAAGATGGGTAAGAGAGAGGCTGGATTCTGTGTGAATCCAGATTGTCTCAGGGGGCCAAGTTCACACAAGACCTCTGTGGGTGATTCCCACGGATGGAGCAGGTTGCTACCACCAAACAGATGTCCTTGGTGGCATCAGAACACGGCCTGCCCCTTTGGTCTCTGAATGTGAGGGATGTGTACTGCCTCTGACCCCCAGAATCTGGTTGCCCCAGCCCGTGGCCCCTGCCACTGTTTATCTGGCTTTCTTTGTACATGAAACTCTTCTTCCCTGAGAGTTCCCCGAGGGCAGAGGCTGAGCAGGATACATCTGGGCTCTGATGCCCAGCCCAGGGTCTAGGCCACAGCAGGCAACGTTCAGTGGTCTCTGAATTGAAGCATTTATGTCTGCTGGGGGAAGGGCCCTTTGGAAACTGCTACAAAGAGGCATCTTATAAGTCAGTCTGCCAGATGTCCCACTGCCTTCCCTCCTTGGAGGGGTCTGGTCTTCTGGAACAGTCTCTAACAATGAGCTCTGGCTAAAATGACAAGAAGATACAGAGGGGAAAACCTGCAGTGACCTTTTTTACACCTTAGCTCCGGCGCTGCCACCATCAGGAAACCATTCTCATCACCCCTGGCTGAGTGGCCTCGCCCCACTGAGGTCCCTCAAAGCTGACACTCTTCCATCCAGCTCAGAATTTCTGTAGCCCTTGGCAGTTCCCGCCCAGGCTGTATACTCATGAAGGATAGGAGCCGGCTCTGACCCCTTTCAGCTCTCTGCCGTCAACTCTGTGCACTGGTCCTTGAAGACCCAATGGCACCGAGTTTGAGGTCTTTTTTCTCCATCATGATGTGGTGCTGGTTCCCTCCCTATCAGTAGGCACTGGCTTTGAGAATTATTTCTATAAATAGCAGTTTCTGCTAAGTAATTTTAAAAAGAGTTTACATAAGGAACTATATTATACATCCACACCCTAACATGCAAGAAGAGAGAGAGAGAGAGAGAGAGAGAGAGAGAGAGAGAGAGAGAGAGAGAAGAGCTATTGCCATTAGCTCCCCCCCTTGGTTTATTGAGATAGGATCTCATAAACCTGCCCCTGCCCCCTAAGTGCTAGGGTTAAAGGCATGTGTCCTCATGCCTGGCCATAGCCTCTTTAAAAAATGCTATGTATGTGTGTGCTGTGTGTACCAGGGTGTGAATATGGTGGTCAGAGACAAGGCTTAGAAGTCCAAGAGAGATGATCTACTTCAGTAGCTCTTTCTTTCCTTTCTGCTCTTACCCCTTTCCCAGAGTGGAAACAGGCCCAGGCAGGGAAACCAAAGGCTCAAAACTGCCTGGCGATAAGGTACTTGGCTAGCATGCACCAGGCTCTGGATCCAATCCCTAGCACTGAATAAAGGAAAAGGAGAGGAGAGAAGGCAGGGAGAGAAAGGCAGACAGTACAGTGATTGGTGGCAGATGTGGACTGGGTGGCAAGGGCTTGGAGACTCTTTCAGAGTGTGACCCTGACACCAAGTATTTACCATGAGCTGCCGCTAAGGCTATGACATACATTCTTCCTCTTGATTTTTACTAACACTATGGAGCTGGCTTTATTATTTATTCCCATTTTACAGATCAGAAAACTGAAGCTTATGGAGTCACAGAGCTGAGAACTATACAAGTTAAGATTATTTAACAAAAGAGAAACAACACTGGCAGTTTGGGTGGTTTGGTGGAAGGGGCACTGAGATTGGAGTCTAGGCTCTTCCCATTGGGTATTTTTTTTTCAGTACCTAAACCCAAGTCCAGCGTTCAGTGTACTCAAAGGGAAAAACATCCCCCCATCCTTTTGTGCACCATGTGAAAACTGCTCCCGAAGAAGGGTACAATCGGGGAAGTACAGATGTCTTCATAGTAAATAGATCAGGGGCAAGGGAATGTGGGACCTATGTCTAAAGTTTTCCTAAGCTCTGCAGGAACTTTCCAGGGGCGTCCCTGGGAGTAGCCAAATACCCCCCACCCCCTCCAGCTGAACACTTCTTCCATCCCAGCATCCTGAACCCTAGCTGGCCCGGAGTACCCAGGAATCTGCCGCACTGGTGTTATGGACACACAGGAAATGCTGCACACACCCTGGCTGACACCTGTGTGCTGCTGTGCACATCTGAGTGTGCTGGACTCTCTCTCACCCTGGACAGCCTCAGCCCCACCCTGTCTTACCTGAGGTCGCTCTCCCGACCCACGTCAATGGGTCCATCAGACTCTCCATCGGAGCCACTGGGCGCCCTGGGCCGCTTCATGGCGAGAGCTGGCTGCGGGGTCTCAGTCCTGCGATCCGTGGACTTGGTCGTTGGGCTCCGCCCCGGCCCCGCCCCAACTCGGGAGTCGACACCGCCCTTTCCCAGGGCCCTTTCCTGCAAAGCAGCCCGGGGCGCCCCGGCGCCCCCTCGCCCCCGCGGTGACGCGCCACCGAACCGTGGGAAGGCCCCGGGCGGTCACCGCCCCCATCGGCCACTGGGAGGTCCGGCTCCGCTCCACCGGCGCTGCCTGGACTGGCGCGCTGGGTGGCCTTGGGCAGGTGCCCTGGGAGGCCCCACGGGGGAAGCCCAGACTCCGGATCTGTCCCTAGTTATGTGCGACAGGCTTTGCTTTGCAACGCCTCAGATTTGGGAGGGACAGACCTGCACCTTCCTGCCTCCTGAGGTCCGGGATGGGCAGATAGGTTTGGAAAGGTTGCTGGGGTTGCTTGTGACCTCTTGGACAGTAATTCCTCAGACTTTCCTTCCGTTGAGAACCAAAGTAAGTGGAGGTGGGGGGGGGGGTGGGAGGGCGCTGTGGGGTGTTCAGAACTTCGAGGACCTGTGGAGAGCCCCAAAAAGGATGGCTGCTGCCTGTCAGCTGAGAAGGCTGGTCTCAGGCAAAGGCTGTTTTGAGAGGAGGGAAGACTGAGTCTCATAGAGCCAGACTGGCCTTGAACTTGTGCAGCAGAGGATGATCCGGGAACCATACATCCGGAGTGCATTACAGTGGCCAAGATCTTGGAGGTACCGGCTTGTAGGTGGGAGTGCAGGAAGGGAGAAGGTAGGTAGGGTGTGGTGGGTGGTGGAGTGTCCCTGGGAGTCAGTTACCAGTCCACGTAATGACAGAGCTGTCCTGGCAGACCTCGGCGAGAGAGGAAAGGAGCCCTGGGCTTCTCTTTCTTGGGGAGCCTGTCTGACAGCAAAGTCAGTGAGAGTTCCTGTCCCTGTCCTGAGAGAGGAGACTCAGCTGCCATCAGTGTCTCAGAGAAGCCCCCACTGTGCAGAGGGAAGGCAAAGCCTTCAAGGTGAACTTCTTGCAGGGTAGGGGAGATGGTGGAGGTTGGCATGGCTGATGGGCCATCAGAGAAGTTCCTTACCTTTGTCCTGCTCACTGGGATGGACACAGAAGAAAGCAAACTCTTGGTGTAGGAAAGTGGGGTTTGTCATTAGAAGCCATCTGCGCCCCCCACCCCCACCCAGGGTTTCTCTGTGTAGCCTTGGCTGATCTGGAACTCACTTAGTAGATCAGGTTGGCCTCGAACTCACAGAGAGAGACCTGTCTGCATCTGCCTGCAGAGTGCTGGTGTTAAAGGCGTGGGCCACCACTGCTGGGCTGTCTGCACTTTCACTCCATAGTAACATCTGCTTGCAGACGTTTCCTCGTGGGAAAGAACAGGCCTCTTGCCATACAGACCCCCATATAACCACTTGGCCAAGTACAGGCAGAAGTACAGACACCGCCTGGTTATAAGCAGCCAGTATCAGGAAGCCCTGCTGGCCATCCCAGTCACCTGTACCAACTCTACTGTCCCCAATGCTCTCATACAGTGTCTGTGGGCACATGCCAAAGCAGTGGAAACCTCAACCAGTATAGAGGTTGCCCAATCCACAAACTATGCATTTCCTAGAAAGGCAGACAGATACTTGCTCCATGTAGTTGGCTGATTTGCTGGGGAAGGTAAGAACCCTGTGGTGGCATGTTCACAAGAGATGTCCCCGGTCCTCAAAATATACTGCACAGTTAAACAGGTAGTGTGGGGTTTGGAAAAAGAGATCTAAATTTGGAAGTTATTAGATAATAGATGGCTTTTAAAACTATGGGGGTGGACAAGCAGATGGAGAGGTGGAGCCTATTGTTTCCTGTTTGGTGAGTACTTGTCACAGCACCAGGAAAGGTCCTAAATGTTCTGTAAGTTCTAATTCATTTAACCCTCGATTGACCAATTAGTAATATTGATTATTTCCTCCCTGTCACAAATGAGAGTTCGGAGGTAGAGTAACTCAGCCTATGGCCAACAGGCAGAGGAAGAAGAGCTGGGAGTTCACAAGGCAGTTTGATTTCAGAGCAAATAACCAGGCTTTATTATATCACAGAGCTCGCAGACATTAGGCTAATGCAGCCTAGCACCGAGATTACTTCTGTGCCATCAACTCAATGGCCTTGAGCCACACGCAGCTATGAAGAACTTGAAGCAGGAATGGCTTGGATTTCTAAGTGCAACATAACCGAAATTTTTGGGAGGAGAGGGGTTTTCGAGACAGGATTTCTCTGTGGCTTTGGAGGCTGTCCTGGAACTAGCTCTTGTAGACTGGTCTGGAACTCACAGTGATCCGACTGTCTCTGCGTCCCGAGTGCTAGGATTAAAGGCATGCGCCACCAACGCCTGGAACAACAGAATTTTAAAAATTACACCTATTTATTTATTTTGTATGTGCATGTACCTATGTGTATACACATGTGTACTGTCCCTGCGGAGATGAGAAGACAGATTATAGGAGTTCATTTTTTCCTTTCCACCATGTAGGTTCTAGGGGTTCAACTCAGGCTATCAGATTTGGTGGCAAGCACCTTTACCTGCTGAGCCATCTCTAGCAGACCAGGAATATTTTTTTGAAAAAAATATTCCAACTATTTTCTTTCACTTCCTCCTTTCCCCTCCTCACCTTTCAATTCTTATGCCTTCTTCTGCCTTCTTCTGCCTCCTGGCTGATGCTGCACTCAGGAGCCTTTTGCCTCAGCCTCCAGAGAGCCAAGCTTTCAGGTGTGAGCCATTAGACCTGACTTTTTTTCTACCTCCACTGTGACTACTAGAACCTCTTTAATTGTACAAGCCCCTCCTGGGATGCTAACTCAGTTAACTAGTGCTAACTCATAACTCAGCACAGGCCTGCTCAACCTTCATACTACTAACATTCAAGGCTGGCTAACTGGTGCACAGGGCAGCTCTGGGACCTGTAGAATGTTAAACATTATCCGATTCCCACGAGATGCAAATGGTACTTTCCAGAAAATACGCAGAGAATGCCAAATGGGAGAATCACCCCCAGCTGAGAAGCACTGATCAAAGAAACTCTATACAGGCATGCCCAACCTGTAGATCATGGGCCACATGCACCCAGCACAAAATTGAAAACTTACTTAAAACATTGGATTTCTTTGCATGTTTAAAAAAACTTTATTGCACAGTTCTTTGTGGTGATATATTATGATTTATTAAAGCTGGCCTGAGGATTCAGAAAGTAAAGTCAGTCACAAGCTAGAGGGGTCAGGAGGTGAGTGGCACATAACTTTAATCCCAGGATTCAGGAGCTAAAGGTAGATGGATTTCTCTGGGTTCAAGGCCACCCAGGGATACATTAGAATGAATCAGTCTAAAAGAGTACTAGGGCTCACATCTTTAATCCCAGGATTCATGAGAGGTATATAAAACAGGAACAAGGTCTCAGTTTCAGGCATTGATTCTCCAGCCACACTGAAGATAGGAAGGCTCAGTATCAATTATTCATTGAAGTCTCTGGCTTCTCCAGTCACGCTAAGGAGAGGCTTCAGTCTGAGGTTTGGTGGAGAAAGGATCAGCCCTTTCAGCCTGAGGTAGAGGTGAGAGCTAGTGGCTGACTGCTTTGCTTTTCTGCTAATCTGCTTGAAGTTTGAGCCCCAATATCTGTCACTGCATCTTTTATTTTTCGTGTTACAGTTCTTGAGTATGAACTTTGTAGTTGGCAGTGTCGTGTGGCAATGTAAAAGGCTGAACACACCTGAAAGGTCCTGGAGAAGAGTCACCAAGCAGGTTGCAAGCAAGCAGCCTAGGAAGGGGAAGATGCCCAGAAGGCTAGGAGAGCTAAGAAGGCACGTGGGAGCCCAGAGAGGGCTGCCAGGACTTGGTTGTGATCCTTTTTTGGTTTGGTTTGGTTTTTTGAGACAGGGGTTCTCTGTGTAACAGCTCTGGCTGTCCTAGAATTTGCTTTTTAGACCAGCTTGGTCTTGAACTCATAGAGATCCACTGCCCAGTGTTTGTGATCCTTTAAAATGTAATCAGAGTGTGTCACCTCCCTCTCAGTATCACCCACAGGCTTCTCATCACATCATAAACTAAATGCTAGTTGCTGCCCATGCTTCTGCATGGGGTATGTTTATAGTTTATCATTTAACCCTCAGCATCTTTAAGATTGGAGGGATGCAGAACTAGTATTTATTCCAGAACTATCCAGGGGACACCAGAGGTGTGGCCACCTAGTTAGTACTTGCCCCTGACTATCTCTTTAACTTTATCCCAGCCTGTTTCGCCTCACTCCTGCGGCAACTCCAGTCTTCCTGTCTTCCTCCCCCTGGTGCTCCATGCTTGTCCCTGACTCTAAGCCTTGAATTTGCTGACTTTTCTTTCCAGAATCTTGCTTGTGTCAGATCCTATCAACTCACACTCCATCCAGGTCTTTGCCTAAACGTCACATCCCCAGAAAGGACTCTCCTGACTGCCCCATAGCCATGATTCTTTCATCAGTCGAGGGTTCTGCCTCTCTGCATCCTTTCCCACAGCAGCATTAATATAATTTACATAACATTACGTATGCCCAGTTATTTACTGTCCATGTCCCATAAGAAGGTAAACCGGTTGACAACAGAAACATATGTCCTGTGTTTACTGCTGAAGCATCCACCTGGAACATGTTTGGCGGGTGTGGTAGTTTGAATGTAATTGGCCCCTATAAGTTCATATGATGTGGCGCTATTGGGAGGCGTGGCCTTGTAGAAGGAAGTGTGTCACTGCTGGGAGTGGGCTTTGAGGTCTCTTTTGCCGAAGCTTTACTCAGTGTCACAGTCCACGTCCTGATGCCTTCTGATCCAGATGTAACCAGCCCCATGTCTGCCTGCACACTGCCATGCTCCTAGCCGCCATGATGACAGTGGACTCAACCTCTGAGACTGTAAGCTCCCACCTCAATTAAATGTTTTTCTTCAAAAGACTTGTCATGGTCATGGTGTCTACTCACAGAAATAGAACCCTAACTAAGGCAGCAGGTAACAGATGTGTAATAGCTGCATGCAGCCAGAACTCTTGTTTGAGAAG